GCTGTATCCTGCACGTATGTGGCCACATTGCCAAAGAGGCAGGCTGTGGTGTGGCCACGTGATTGTGGTGTCCTGTGGCTTATGCTAGGACAGGTGAGTGCCTGTTTGCCTGACGGCGGTCAAGGCTCTGTGGCTCCAGAGGTACTGACAGTCCCAGGGGCTACTCTGAGGTGGCCAGGCCTCTCCAGCTCTGTCCAGAGGGCATGTGGAGCAGGGTGGAGCCATGAGACCTGTGCCCTGAGGCCGAGGACAGGAAGGTAGCAGTGGTGTCTGCTCCTCTGAGTCTTGGCCCCAGCTGGAGGCGGCCAGGAGGCTGTAGGGAGCTGCTGTCAGGCCCTCCTTGCCCAGTGCCCACGGCCTCCTTGCCCTAAGCCTTCTCTGGTGTCCCTTCTCAGCCAGTCCCCCTCTCGGGGCTGAGCCCCGGGGCCTTCTGCTCAGGTGGCATGAGGCCTACTCTGCACGATACTTTGGCATTTGTGGCTGGATTTGGAGAAGCTTCAGGAGACTGGTGCCCCTGCTGTGACCTTGTGACTCCCCTAGCCTGGAGTCTTGGCCACGTGGCCTTACCTGCTCAGCCCTGCTGCGGCCACTGCCTGCTGGGCACCCGAGCACCAGGATGCAGGAGGTTGTGTCCCATCACCTGCACCCTGACCCCTGTGGCCCCTGGAGCTGGGGAGGGGGGCCGGCTGTCCACTGTGAGGCAGGAAGAGAGCCCGTGTGGACGCTACTCCATGTTCAGAGCTGGGCGCTCCTTTCAAGCATGTGTGTGCACTGAGTTCCCTCCGCAGGCAGGTGCTTTAGGAACTTACACAGAGGCCCGCCCTGCCCTTTCCTGGGAAATCAAATAAGGTGCACACAGGATGGGTGTACTCAGGGGCAGAGCACTAGCCCTCACACGCAAGGCCCTGGGCACAATCTCTAGCACTGCCAGAAGTATACAGGACTATCCAAAACAGGACATGCCCACGCCAAGAAAGTGTGGGCTGTGCTCTTGGGGTGCATGCTGTGGAGCTTTGGGCCTGATCCCCTTCTCCCAGGGCTGACCCTGCACAGGGAGATCACAGGCTGGGTCAGGCCAACTCTCGTCCGTGGTGACCAGCATGACTGGGCCCTGCTCTCCTGATCCCAGGTCTGCACCAGTGCTCAGGCGTCCGCGGTGCGTCTGTCCCTCCAGTGCCATCTGCCTCGGGTGTGCTGTCAGTGGGTGCTCCCTGGGGAGGGAAGTGACACCTAGGTCCTGCCCTGGAACTCCATGGGGAGATTGCCTTCCACTGGGCTGGATCCTGGGGACTGGGGACAGCAAGCACCAAGGCAGGGAGTGGCCAGGGGAGCACGCGAGGCAGGGGATGCAGGCAGGGCCTGGCCTGCACTAGCCCCAGCAGGGCGCCTGCCACCGGGCCCGTGTCCTGCGGGACTTGTTCCCTTTGCTGCCAGCAGTGGCTCCGCCCACCCTCGGAAGCGGGTGAGAGGGTAAGTCAAGGCTCGGAGGCCGACATGTGGCCTCGAGCCAGGCCTCCCCCGATCACCGGCACGCTGGGTCTGAGCCCTCGATGCCTGGCCTCCTGTCCTGTCCTCTGTGGGGATGAGCCGCACATTCCTGTGTGAAACAGTATTTTATGGTGAGTCGTGATTAAACTGTGGCCCTGTCAGGTACCCTGTGTCCCCACTCATTCTCAGAGTCACAGAAGGAGATGACAAAGGACCCGGCGTAGGCCTTGAGGTACAGACATGGCCTCAGCAATGCCTGCTGTTGTCCCTGGTGCTGCCATCCCTGTTGGATGGTGCCTCCCCAGGACACCGCCGCCTCTCCGTCCCCTCCCGCCCCTTCTGCAGGACGACCCTGGGGTCCAGACATCCTGCAGTTTGACCTGCCTGCTGCTCCGCCTGGCTGGCGCCTCCTGCCCAGGCAGGCTCCCCAGGCAGCCAGTGAGGAACGCAGCCCCCTGCTGTAGCATGTGAGGACCCCAAGTGACTTCTAGACAAGGACCCCAAGCCACCCCTGCCTTCACCCCATGTACCGAGCCGCCCGCACAGGTCCCGCCTCTGAGGAGACCCCCCTACGCCTACAGCGAGGACCTGACTGCCGTGCTGGCCTGTCACTGAGACGCTGAGATAATCGCTTCTAAGGAGGGGAGGTTGATTCTGGCTGACAGTTTCAGAGGTTTCAGTGCAGGGTTGGGTGGCCTGTGGTTTTGTGCTGTGGTGAGGCACAGCCCCGTGGGGGAAGGATGTGACAGAGGAGACTGTCACCTCGGGGTGGCTGGGAGGCAGACAGGAAGTGACTGAGCCCAGGAACTCCTGGAGGGCTTGCCCCAGTGAACACCTCCCCCAGGTGCCACGCGGCCTGCTGCAGGAGCACAAGCGGGACACCAAGCCTGCAGCACCTGCTACAGACGGGCCCCCTGGTCCTCTCGGTGGGCCTCCTCCCACTGGCTCACAGCACTGAAGGTCTCCACCTGCTAGAACACAGGCTACTTGGTCCTCATTCTAGGTCTGCGCCGGCTGGCTCATGGTGGGTTGTCTACACCGGCTGGCTCACACATGTTCCTCCTCACTGAAGGGTCTCAATGCCAGGGAAGGCACACATCCTGTATTTCCATTGGCATGACCTGGCTCTCTACGAGGACCCTCTGCCGTTCACATTCTCTGATTGACGGAAGGACGTGAACCAATGTGCAGCCAGGCTGAGTGTGGAGGGTCCGCGTTCCTCTGTGCAAAGGATGTGCATGCCCTGAGGCCCCTGCAGGACTCGCCTCCGGCTGGGGGTGGTCTGCACAGTGAGCTGCCCCAGGCTCCTTCCCCTGGTGCGTTCTCCCACCTCTGGGAAACCCCAGGTCACTGGCCGAACCGGCAGCTCCCAGGTGAGCTCTGCAGGGAGGGTGTGACTGCACAGCGTGCCGTGCCTCCTGAGTTTCACTGCTGTGCCCTGCTGACCCTTTGGGCTGCCTGACCCTGCTCTCCAGGACCCTGATGAGGGTAGGAGCTGCCCGGGGGAGCAGGGGTCTTCAGTGTGGCGTGGGGTCATTACCGTCAGGAGTGTGCTTGGTGAGGTCAGCCAGCCCACGGCAGGTGGTTCTGCTTCTGGAGACTGACCTGTAGAACGGGGAGCGGGATGCCCCACGGGCCTCCCAGTGGCAGGCTGGTGGCTCCCCAGGGCCTCCCAGTGGCAGGCTGGTGGCTCCTGTGTGCTGGCATTTGTCCCAGATCCCAGCACACTGAGCCTTGGTGCTCTCTGGAGTCAACTGCTTCAACGCAGATTCGCTTCCCCAAATGCATCCACTGGAAAGAGCACAGACCTCGCCACCTCGCCTGATAACCCAGGGCTGCCCTGGGAGGCTCAGTCAGCCTCTGTAGAGGAGGCGGGGAGGTGTACCCCCTCATGGTTGGGCCAGCCCATGGCTAGGCTCAGCACATGAAGGTAACAGTTCCTGAAGATGTGGCCTGGGCTGCGTGTGAGGCCAACCCTGCGTTGCGTCCTTAATGGCAGAGTGTGGTCCAGAATCAGGTTGGAAGCACGTTCCAGGAACACAGCACACTGTGGATGTCCAGTCCCTAGGGGCCCCTTTCCCTCCCACTGTCCACTGTGGGCCCAGGCTGTGGTCTCCCAGCCCCCCTGCCTGGGGCCCTCTCCCTTCCCACTGCCCACTGTGGGCCCAGGACATGGTCTCCCAGCCCCTCCACCAGGGGTCCCCTCCCTTCCCACTGCCCACAAGGACACAGGCTGTGGTCTCCCAACCCTGCTACCTGGGGCCCCCTTCCCTCCCACTGTCCACTGTGGGCCCAGGCTGTGGTCTCCCAGCCCCCCTGCCTGGGGCCCTCTCCCTTCCCACTGCCCACTGTGGGCCCAGGACATGGTCTCCCAGCCCCTCCACCAGGGGTCCCCTCCCTTCCCACTGCCCACAAGGACACAGGCTGTGGTCTCCCAACCCTGCTACCTGGGCCCCCTTCCCTCCCACTGCCCACAAAGGCCAGCACATGGACAGTGAATAAGAGGCTCCCTCCTGCTTCTCATCCAGAAGAGACCCCAATGTGCAGCTCCCCAGTGTCCTCCAGATGTCCCCAGCCCCTGCCACGAACCCTGTCAGGAGGCTCCTGCAGACGAGTCTGCAGTCCTGCTTGGCCACCCTCCCCAGGCCTCCTGGGTGTGGCTGTTCCCTTCTCCTGTCTACAGCTTGTCCCCAGTTTCACCCCCGTGGCCATGCCTCCCCTGTGGCCCTGGGCTGTCAGTGGGACGGGAGTATGTGCTTGCCTGGTGGTGTGGGCCCAGCAGCCAGCATGGCCAGGACCAAACCCAGCTGCTGTCACAGTGGACACACCGGCTCCTTGATTCCTCCCAGCCCTGCGGTGGACATCACTGTGCCTGTGTCAGGGCTGCAGGGTCCCCTGCCCCAAAGTCCTACAGGAGAGGTGATGGTGGCCAAATCCTGCCTCCCCTCCCACCTCTGTGCACTTGTGTCTCACAGCCTGGGGATCAAGGTCACGATGCCCGGCACCTTCCTTGGTTCTGCAGAGCCGAATGTGAAGTCATGGGCCTCTTTGTGGAGGGTTCCACCCATATTTGTAGATTTTAGTGTTTCTACCAAAATATGTTTTACCTTTGCTCATAATTCATGTGTCTGAAAGGAGATACAACAGAGTTTTGGGCAAAGTAAAATTTAAATATTGAAATTAAATGGTAAAATAGACCATTCTTTTTCCGTCTAAGTAGCTTGAGTGTGCTGAGCCGGGCGCAGGGACGGCAGTGTATCTGACGGTGCCTGTGCCTGTGGTAGAGTGAGGTCATTATTTTAATGCAATGTAACACAGAAGACATCTGTCAGGGGTGGTTTTGGGGAAAGCCTGCTGAAGTGCAAGGTCGGGATGGCTGCGTCTGCCGAGGTCTCCAGACTGTGGCGTGGCCCAGCTGCTCCCCGTCCGTGGAGCTGCGGCGTGTGGCTGTGCGTGTGATGGGCCCTGCGGGCTGCGCTCTGGGAGTAACCCTTCTCTCTGTTCTGTTGCAGAGTCGCAGTGCACCCTCTGCGGGGAGCCGGAAGGTGAGTACTCCTGCCCTGTTCACCTGCTCAGGTGGGGACGCCTGGGGGTGAGGCTGCATTGGTGTTGACGGAAGCTGGGGCTCCTTAGAGAAGGCGGCGTTGGAAGTGTGTTCTTTGTGGTGTTGATGGAAACTGAGTAAAGTCAGGTAAGGCACCTGAGCGCTGGGCGGGGGAAGCACCAGTGCCACAGCCAACTGCAATCCTTTCTTTTCTTTCTTTCTCTGTTTTTGATTTGCAAATTTTAGCCATGTTTCTCCAAATAATAGATATCAAAACATATTTTTGGCTTTAAATATATTACTGAAGGTGCCAGGGACGATGAGTGTTTGGAACCGAGTGGCATGTGGGCCATTGCTGGCCGTCACTGGCCGTTGACGGTCTGCGGAGTTTGAACTCCACCTGGAGTCTCGATGTCTAGGGCACACTTGAAAGTGGGTCTTCTGAACTGACCATTTGTTAGCTATGTTCCAAGATAGCAAAAGCCAGACTGTGCAGGGTTTTCAATGCAGGATTGGGGCATGAAGGAGCATGCAGACTCTCGCCCCCAGGGCGGGGACTCCAGTTAAGCTGGGTTCTGTTCTGTAGTCTGCTCTCAGCAGAAAGATGCCAATGGGTTTGGAAACAGGCAGTCCCAGGGCCTGGGGAGACAGCCTGGCCCGGCCTGCCTGCGGGTGCCGGAGCTCCCGCAGAATGCTCTGGAGACCAGTTTGCTCAGTGCTGCAGCTTGGATCCACCTAGATCTTACCCGAAAATGAAAAACAAGAGAAGGCAGACTAACTTGGAAATTCTACCACACGTGGTTTCCTCAACTGGGAGGTAACTGGGGCACTGGACCAGGGCTTCTGCTGTTCCTGGTGCCGCTGAGTGCTTGTGCCTGCCTAGAAGCATCAAAGGTGAAGTCAGTAGCCCACATCTCAATGTCGTGAGCTTCTCTTTTGCACAAAGCCTCTGTGGCTGGACTCAGGGCTTCTCAGAATGGGGACCGTGGGTGGGGACATGGGTCCTGGGGATGCCAAGGCAGATGTGAGCTGTGAGGTCCCCCACCTGTCTGTGTCCTTCGGTGTCTGCCTCTATGGCTGCTCCTGTCTTTCCCACCCAGGAGCGTGTGCCGGCTGTCCGTGTCTGGCTGTCCGTGCCCTTGTGGGAGGCTCTGGGTGCTCCTGTGCTGGAGAAGTTGAGATGTGTCCTCAGGCTGCTCCCATCTGCTGCTCCTGATAAGGCACGCCTGTGTCCTGCCCAGGGCTGTGTGCTGCGTGGATTGTCCCCCCACTGCACGTGGCTCAGTGCTGTTGGGTGGCAGTGAGGTGTGGTGAATCATGCTGATTCAGATTGAGGCCGCAGGGCACTCACCACGGTGGGTGTCGGGCCATTTCTGTGAATGTTCTGGGCAGTCATGTGGAGCCGAAGTCCACGGGTCTCCTGGGCTGACCCGAGATGCTGCAGTGTACTTGTACTCAGAGAAGTGGGTCACTCCGCTCCAGGTTCCCAGCCCCACACCCGAGTCATCCCAGCAGCATGCCCACCTGGTCGCCTGGGGTGCCTGTCTCCTGCCCTGCTTTAATCTGCACATCACCAACCTCAGCAGTGCCAGTTGAGCTGTGCATCACAGGAGAGGGACCCAGTGTGTCCATCACTGCCCTAGAGGATGGATCAACTCCCCGGAGAAGGATCCCAGCTGTCTGGCCAGAGGAGACCGTGGGGCAAGGAGGACCGTCCGGCTGAGGTTGGGGTCTGTGGGGCATGGGATGAGGGCAGTGGGGCTGGCTGCCCCTGCCTCCCCTGCTCCCTGATGTGACACGGTGCCCTGGGGCCTCCTGGGGCTCAGATATGCGGGCAGAATTGCTCTAGATCAGAGATAGCCAGGAAGGGCTGCCTCGGCTCTGCCTTATCTTTTGAGACGCACTGTCAGATGAATATTCATACGTTTTAAATCATTTAAGGAATCAGTCTGAGAGCTGGCTGGGTGCAGGGATGGAATCTGGAATCCGCTTTGGTTCGGTCATTGCTTCGGCAGCACCTATTAGCTAGCTCACAAACGCTCTGTGCAGGAGAGGTCAGGGCCAGGCCTGGACACTGAGCAGCTCCGAGCTGGCTGCACCTCTCCTGAGGTCCCGAGTTGAGCACCAGCGTTTCTCCCCCATGTTTGAAGCTGTTAGCAGCCTTGTGCCTTCCAGGGTGGGTGGAACACCATCTGTTGGAGAGAGTGTTCTTTAGTGAAGATTCGATGATTGGCAGTCTCAGAGAATAATACCTGTGGAGCAAATGAGTCAAGCAGGGCCATTTATAGGACCCCAGAGGCCTCAGAATTCTACAGCTGTAGCCCCTAGAGTGGCAGGTCCTGGTTTTCAGGGTACCCCAAGTTATAAGTGTTATAAAATGTAGACAGGAACTTCCACAAACAAGCCATTGCCTGTCTATACTGCAAGCTCCTGAGACCTGGAGGACTGTTTCTATGAGGGGTGATGCTTTGGGATCTGCTGCTATTTACGGGCGTCTTTCTTTTGATTCAAAATACAGAGGTCACCCAGCTGTGAGTCCTGGAGGTGTGGGTCCACCTGAAATGCGGGGGTCTTTTAGTTGTGTGCAGACCCACCACTGCTGCAGAGACCCATCTTAAAACAGATAAATAGCCATAAGATTACTAAGAACAATTTCAGTTGTTGTAATAACTTGCCAGTTTAATTCTGAGACGACTGCCTCAATTCGTATCATTTTCCTTGCATTTCCTGTTCATTTTAAACAGTGAATTTACTGGCCATACAACAAGAGAACTACTGTTAGTTTATCTCAACACAGCAAAAATTCCTGTACCATCTGTCAATTTGATGCAGAGAAATTATTTAAGAGTGTAAATAATTTTCAAACTTCATTGACAGGTGCATGATAGCTACCATTTGCGTATTAGTAAGACTACGGGACAAAAATACAGGTATTTGGCAGGGCCGCAGATGCCGGCTCATGGACTTGTCTTTGCCTACGTTTTATGGTTAATTTTCCCTCCCAGCAAATAGATGTTGTAATGTGGAAGATGGGTATTGATGATGGAGGCTAGCACTTACCACAGTCCTCTCCAGTGTGCAGACAGCGGCTCAGACCCATGCTGCTTAGCCGAAGTGAAACTAAGAGACGAGCTGTTAGGATGCCCACTTGGCATGCAGGAGTAGTGGCAAGATCACTGGGGTGCATTTCAGCTTACAAGTCCTCAGAAGTAGATGCCTGAGATTGTGACTCCAGGGAGAAGTGGGCTACTTGTGGTGGCATCCACACACACGGGAAAGCAAAATGCAGGTTTTAAAAACAATCTTTAAAAGCTTAAGGTAAACTCTACCCATCTAAATCTATTTTTATTTTGTTTTGTATTTATTTCAATCCTCTAGAAACACACAAATCACATGCTGCTCTGGGAATTTTTGACGAAATCTTATATTTAGCATGGAAAGAAAGAAACAGAAGTACCTCTTCCCCCTTCACTGTGCATGGTTAGGAAGCAGCAGGGGGTTTCTGTGCTAAGTAGAATCTTTTTTTTTTTTTCAGAGAGAGAGAGAGAGAGAGAGAGAGAGAGAGAGAGATTTTGATATTTAGTTTTCAGTTTTCGGGACACACAACATCTTTATTTTATTTTATGTGGTGCTGAGGATCAAACCCAGCGCTCCGCACATGCCAGGCGAGCGCGTTACCGCTTGAGCCACATCGCCAGCCCCCTAAGCAGAATCTCATTTTTGACTTTTTAACATGAGAAACCGGAGGTTCTCCCCACAGTGACTCTGGACAATGGGAGACTCCTCTATGTTTTTGTGCCTGTGTAAGAGTCATCTTGATAAGTCACGTCCAGATTCGGTGTCGAGGCTGCTTTGGAACAGTGGACGTGGCTGCCCTTCTGCCCCCACAGCGTCCCTCTTCCCCCCTCTCTGCAGACATAGGGGTGACTACTGCACACTCCCCACATGAGACATGTGTGCCTTTGAGTCGTGTGCTTCGGACAGGGGTGGCCTTCTTGAAGGCCACTCTTAAACAGGGAGGGGAAGCTGACCCTCACCACAAAGTTCTCGGCATGGCCAGGCCTTCCAGAAAAAACAGTGTCACGTGGGAGCTGCAAAGCCATGCAGCTGGTCTCCCAGGGCCCCAGAATTGTCCCTGTTTTAGTGTCCTGAAAGTCCAGGGTGACGGGCCGTGGAGAGGTGGAAGTCTGAGTGGATGCAGGAACTGTCCTTCCCACTAAACACACGTGAACGTGCTGCAGTGTGGCACAGTGACATTCACCTCACTGCATCGCTCAGCTTGAATGAGAGAAGGAAAGAAACCAGCCCCAGGAAGGGACCTGAGCCAGGCTGAGAAACCCAGTCCAGAAAGAACCAGGCTGGTGCAGCACGCTGCAGCCCCAGGGATGTGGTGGCCCAGTGAGCCCAGGCGGTGGAGGGAGGCACCCGGCCTGAGCCCCGTAGTTAGATGTGGTCAGCGAACCTCCCCGTGTGTGAGGAGACAAAAGAAAACCACTGGCCAGGAAAGCGTAGCAGCAGTTCATCCCTGGCCCTGAGCTATGGGTGGAGCATGACTCTCCCACAGAAACGCTCACCACAGGTGCAGGGGCCAGCTCTGCGTGCCCACCACCTGGGCACTGGGGAGCAACTGCGGGGTAAGGTCTGTGAACAGGACCCCATCAGCAACCAAGGCTCTGGGGGACAGAGCCTCTGATGCCCAGGGCAGGGGCCACCTCCTCCATGGATGAGCACCCTACTCTAGATAAGCTTAGAATATAGGGTCACAGCCCAAGTAAAAACCTCAGGGGGCGAGAAGGTAGGGCAACTCAAGAATGAGCTAGCCACACACTGGGAACAGCAGGCTGCATGGGCATGGGGCATGCTGAAGATTATTGAATGAACTTCCTTTTAAAAGGAAAGGAACTCCAAACGTAAGCTGGTATGAAAAAGAGGTTAAAATCAAACTGAACCATGTGGTGATTAGAATTGGCTTCCTTGTGGTCTCTGTAAAGTGGACTAGAC